ATACCAAGGTCCCGCACCGAAACACCACTCAGTAGTAGAGAAGAACCAGAAGTGAGAGCGCAGAGAAAGAGCGTGTCCGGCAATGGTGAGGTGTGCGGCTAGCCTGCCCCAGCGTGAGTGGACTGGGAGGCGGTCCCGGACACACTACTCTCCAGTCCGTTCCCGTATACTTTTGTGCAGAGAAAATGGTACGTCTACCCCAACTGCAGGCCCATTTCCCTCACACCCTGCAAGGCCCAGGATCCAGGTATGTGAGTGTACGATTTGTCTCGAAGGCATAAGGCACGACAATTCTGGTATTCGGTCTAAAATGGTAGCAGTGCTGCTATGTAGTGGGAAAATGACGAAAAAGCGAAGTGAAACGGTCAAAATCTGCGAAAAAGCTTTGTTCTACGCGATTCAGAAAGCAATTTTGGACGAGTTTCCCCACTGGCATCGTGCCAGTAACCGCTACGGTAGATACGGCTGCACGTATGTACTCATATATCCATGCAGCACCGCAGCCGCTTCATATCAATCCCTTCGCTTCATATTTTACTTCGCAAATGAAGCAATACGAGCATCAGGTACGGTCGTCCATTTGTGGGCGGGCGGGCGCGGTGGGCGTCCGGGTCGGTATGTTGCAGCTTGACAGGGCGCCATGGGGTACATTCCTTGGAGAAGGCGCTACACAGCGTCTGATCAGGGGCGCAAATTCTGCTTTGCTAGGCTGATTGATCCTACACGTCTTGAGAATTTATTGTGCCACTTGCCAGGCACTTTCCGCGATAAATAAGGCTATGACCTCTAAAATGTGTCAGACGATCCGGAAGGCGAATCTGGAGGCTGCGCGCTGCTTTCAAAAAGTGAAAATCGGGCAAGAACTCGCTGGAAGCTGGACCAATTTAGTCCACTGGGCAACCTTTAAGGTTTTAGGGGGCCCATGTCGAGCCTGCCCATCTACAAGTGAGGTGTCGGCACTGCCGGAGTTCTCGTTTGGGAAATTTCTGACTTGTTTCTTTCTGCTGCTATTCGTTCATTTAATCAGTCTACCAAAACATTTCAAGTCTTGTTTGAGACATTTCGGACTGTTTTTTCTGCTGCTTTTCTCCATTGATCAGTTACCTGAATCTTTTTCGTTCGTATGTGAGCTGCATTACCCGCAATATGTGATAGCGGGGTGTGCCTTTCAAGGCACGGTCCGCGATCAGGTATAGAAGTTGAAAATATGGCATCAGGAGGGTAGTGTGGTCCGCGACGAACAACCTTGTACCGGTTTCGCGGCAAAAAATTGTAAGGGAGGGGCGCTATAGCGCAATATAGGTTCAGTGACGCCTCCTTTTTCCAGTGACTCCGCCTCCAGACTCCGCCCTCAAGGCCCGCCTTTCAGTGAAAAACGAAGCTGCAGGACGAAAAACATGAAATCGTCACTTGTACGGTCGTAGACCTGCTGTGAATGATCGCGAGCTTCGCCTTTAAGACAGCACACAATTCAAGCACGAATTGTCCCATTCTCAAGGACCTGGAAGGTTCAGATGATGTGTGCCAATGCTTGATCTTGCGAGCCAGAAAACCTTCAACAAATCCACCCATCTATCGGCATGTCATGCTGATTTTTCGAAAGTTATTGATGGACCATTTTGGCCTCTTCCCAAAGCTAAGCCGAATGTAGATATGAATCCTGTCTGTGTTGTTTTTATGAGAATCGAAATTTCAATTAGGAATGCAATTACGTTGTCAGGTAACACCTTATTTATTATTAATCCATTAATTACAGTAGGCGGCGGCGCTCCAGTCGCGCGCCTTCTACTGAATGCTGGTGGTTGACAAGTGGTTACGGTAAGTTCTTTGTAAATGTTTGGCAATGAATGAAACGATCGGTCGGATTTGAGGAATATTTGGCTTGATTTCAATCTATTAATCAATTAGATTTAAGTTACTTGTTATTGTTGGCCAGTTATGGCTTGCATTCAATCTATTAATCAATTAGATTTAAGTTACTTGTTATTGTTGTCCAGTTATTTCAGTTGAGATTCCAGTTAAAGAGATTTCGCTTACCCTTGGCAAGAGAGTTGTACTTTTAATTTAGACGGATCCATTGAAAGAACCTAGCGAAAGTGATGAAATGCTACTTTCTACTCCCCACCTCCCCCCCCCTCTTTGAGCTGGACAGCGCCCAGTCCAATCGCTATGCCTTCATCATTGGTGGGTCACTCGTCCCAATACTATGAAAGGAGGAAGACATCACTGAGGAAGGCACTATGACCACAAGTCCGCGCCCCTTTTTCGTGAAATGTGCTTCTAAGCCTACCTTTACAGCTTGCTGTTGTAACTGTTGTAATTGTTACTTAGTCGCCTTCACCATTCATCGCCATATAAATCCACAGTACGGTGAGGTTACGGTATCTGTGATTCCGAAGTATTGTCAGTCGCATATATGACACATCGACAATAACGGCTCTGGTACCGCATCGATGACTTTCAGACGAATCGAGCGACGGCGAAGGCGTTCGGAGCACAAGTCGCGCTTTGGCAGAAACAGCCCACAGTGGCTGGCCGAAGCGAATGCACCGTGATACGCACGCCGCGTTCAACGTTAACGACAGTGTGAATTTGCCCACGGGACGTTTCTTCAGGCTTCATAAGATAGGGCCATTCTTGTCCAAGTTGCCCTAAGCATAAGAGAGTCATGACTACTTTCGGCACTCCACAATGCAGTGACGAAGGGCGCTGCGTTGCCATTACTAGGTCTGCAGTATAGGGTACGGTATACAGTCATACGTCCATCGGGAAACGAACCTGGGCTATGGGGAGCATGGCTTGGAAGCGAATCACGAAAGGTTCCCAATACGCTATGTCGATCTAGGTATGTCATCAAGCGGAAAGAGCGCCTGGCAGCACTGCAATTCCCTCGATCCTCCTTCAGCGGAGCACACCGGCTCAACCAGCGAATGCTTCTCCTCTTATCCTCTCTTTCCTCGTTCGCCCCTCCTCCTTTTCCTTTTTTCTTTTCCGGCTCTGAAATCCCTCCTCCACCCTTTACCTTCCCCTTCAACTGCTGGACTGGGGTGGATGTGAAATTAGCCCTGGACCCTCGCAGCGAGAGATCGTCTGGTTGACATCTGCCCCGTAACCCTGCAATTCGTGCCACGTCGCACGCCATCGTTTGCAAGGATCATGACTGTAACCGCAACCGATACGTACGTGAGTCATTGTAGAGCCGTGAAAGGGGGAAGGAAAATTATCACCCTTCAATTCTGCCCAGGGCGCATCGATGTTGAGGATCCCCAACATGGGAAATTCCCCAACAAGGGGTCGTATTTGGGCCGAGAAGAATTTATTTTGATTATTGATTTTTTTGTTTCACGGATATTGTAAAAGGGGGGTCGCATCTGTTCGTTGTTGGGAGGGGGTCGTATTTCCGTTCTGACCTACAAGGTTGCTGGTTTTCCGGCTTTTTGTGATTTTTTTCCCGTTTTACATACCCCTCCCCGCCCTTTCGCCCCCACCCCCTCGACATCTCGATGAGGAGGACCAGGGGGAGGGTCGTGCGGATTCGACAAAAATCCCCAACTAATGATGTGCCCTAATTTTGCCCTTAAATGTCGAAACATTCAGTGCACACCGTTCTGAAAGGTACCACCCTGAAGTTTACCGCGTTTTGTTCTGCACAGTTTACTATACAAGTGCACTGTACAAGTTTGTACAGCTACGTTTTCTAGGCATTTGTTACCCTGAAATTTCACCTGCCATCGTTACGAGCGCATACGAAACGAGTATCCAAGCTGAAAATCCTCAACGCTGCTATCTCCTATATTGATTCGCTAGTTGCTATACTCAAGGTAAGGAAAAACTTATGCTTCCCATTTATTGAGCTTTTCGGTGGCGCAGTTTGACGACGGGGGGCATTTTGTACTATCATTGCTTCCTTAGTTCCGGTTTACATGTCTCACTCTGGCGAAACCTGTGAACTCTTGTGAAGCTGGAACAAGGTCGTCAAGCCATCATGTTAAAACCTGTCAACTCGAGAAGAGGCTGTCTAGATAGGTCGACACGTCGATGGGAAGTAGCAAAAGTGCAAATGCCCCGTCGTCAAACTGCACCCAGCCTTATAATTCAATTAGCTAATGGAGGTAGTGTAGTGACAAGTGGTGCCACCTTTCACCCGTACCGCCTGAGAGCAACCAAGTGGCTTCTGTTTGCTCCTACCCACCCTAAATCTTTCGGGGTTGGATACCACACTTTGTGAAGCGATAAAAACACTGCATCGTTCATCAGTTGCCCCTCATCAGTCATTCTAAAAGTCGATTCGCAGG